CTCTAGGCTGGCACGCATAGTTACCTGTATGACTAATGATGTTTGAGGAGGTTACCAGGAAAGAAAATGGAATTCCAGTCTTCTTGGAACTCCTTGGAGGCTTTGCATCTTTTTTTTTCAGGTTTTATTGAAGAATGCAAATTCAGCTTCAGCTGTTTACTGAGTTTCGTCTTTAGCTTCCTAGTGTTGGAATATTTCTGTGTCAAATGCAGGAGAACATTTTAATTCTAAGAACTTCTATGGAATTTTTAAGTCTGGAAATATTTGGGGATGGAAGTCAAGTGCAAGTTGAAGGAACTTTTATCTGTGTATTTACTGTTTCCTGACTATCTAATTTATCTAATTTTCTTGTTGACTTGTATGGAGAAGTCTTGCTATGTTTTGAAGTCTGTGCATCAGCAGCAAGGAGTAGGGTCTGTCTTAGCAGATGTGTGAGGAAAGGATATTGGTTCAACACCAGCAGCCCAAAGAGACAGAAAGAGAAAGACTAAGAAAGGAAGGAATTGTGGTTCTTCTTGAAAGGAATTTGGCAAAGCTAAGGAAGTTTGTCAAATAGAAATCAGGAAGGATGAGGAACAAAGACATATCCATTGCTGTGTTCTTCCTAATGCTGTTTCCTGTCTTCCTGCAAGAGCTTCATCCTTTCCTTGATGTTCCCCTTGAAGATATCCAGTAGAGTCTGGAGAGACACTATATTAGTATTCTGAAATAGAGTGAGAGTGATCTGTTTAATCAATTCCTTTTCAGCTGCTAAATTGAAAATAAAACCACCACACATTGAATGGAGCTCAAATTCATTCTTTTTTTTTAAACTAGAAAGAAAACCAGGGAAAAATACATATGCAGTGTTTTGTTGCAGTGCACTTTAAACAAAATATGTCAAAGACAAGTAAAGGGAACAAAGTGCTTGAGTTGCTAAATTGATGGCAGCAATGTCTTATTTTCATCCAGGGTGTTTAGAACCCCATTGAAGGCTGAGTGGGGCCCAGAATCCATTCTTTTTACTGTGCTTTAAGGAGTCTAGATCTTATTTTCTAACTTTGAAGAAAGTGTTCTACCAAAATGTCTTATATTCTGTGATTTTCCTGCAGTTCTTCCAACTTTAAAGTTTCACTTTTAATTAAAATACACCTCTGTTTTTTATAGACAGAGCTGGATTTCCCAAGGCAGTCAACTGCAGGCAAGAACCAGGCTGCTGTACCCATGACATTGAACACATGGCCCTATTCTGTGTCGTCATGTACACAGAATGCTTTGGGAATTCTGAACCCTGGATTATTTTATAGATGGGTCATCAGTAAACTACCTGAAAGTTTTAGTATGATTTCAGGAAAAGGAGGGAGGAGATTCAGTGAGTGGTTGGTTGAACATCTTGAGTAATTTTCTGAACCACTAAGAAAATTGCCACCATTTTGTTTTATTTCTTCAATTAATATTTTGAAAATCTGAGCTTGAGAAACTAGACTCAAAGTAAATTTAAAGAGCCTTGAAGGGCTAGAGCTGTGCCTTTTGACAAGTAAGTTCCTATACCAGAAAAGGACAAATTAAATTTCACCAAACTTCTGATCTTCAAACTTACAGAGCTCTCCTGGCACTTAAATGTAGCCCAGGCTTCTGGACTATTTCATATTTGCATAAATTAGAGAGTTCAGAGCCTGCATTCTGTCTTGCTATAGAATTAGCAATCATATTCTTGTGTCCAGAATTTACATCATGTTATACACTTACTCTGCCTAGATAGTAGGAGAGACTTTAGCTTTAACAATCCATCTCTTTTCCCTATGTTCATCCTAAATTGTTGGCCTTTGTGTTGACCTTTTAAAAGCAGAAGAGATCGCATCTCTACAAAAGGCCTTAAAGTAATACCTCCTTAGGGGAAAAACAAAACAAAAACAAAAGAGTGGCAGAACTGTTGCAGAACATGTGTTTAAAGGGCTAGAAATTACTTGCATGTGCCCTTCTCAAGTGCAAGGAATGGGTCATCCCTTGGGCTGCTCCTAGCCCTGCAGATGCTCTCGGGGAACAGAAAACAGTACTTTGGAAGATGCTGATGCAGAGTAGAAAATGAAAAATAGAGTGAAAGTTTGTTTTATCTCAATAAGTTGCTACTCCTGCTCATCTCGAGTACCTAAGAAGGACCAGGTTTCTCAAAAATGTGTAGCGGAGTGGAAAAATAGTGGAAAGATGGATTATCAATAGGCTGCCTTTGGTCTCTTGAGATGTTGCTGTTTTCAAGCACTGATTCTGGGAGTTCCTTTCTTCCCTTTCGCTGTCTTTGAACTTGTTTACAATGAAGCTCAACCTTCAAATAAGAAGAAAAGCACTTGAGAGCACTTGCTTTTTAATCTAACTTTCCTGCTCTTCAGTCTTACTTATCAGAAACATCAGCAAGTGGAACAAGGCACTGGTCAGGTAGAAAGGCACCGATGAGAATAGAGACCACTTGGATACTGTTTTCTGCTCTTCTGCTGGCATGCTGCATAATTTGGGGGAAAATCAGTTCCCTGGCACTATTTTCCCCTTATATAAAACAGAAGGAATAAATTTTACGGGAGATGCTGATTGCTTTCAAATTTTCTGATGAAAAGTGCTGCATAAGAACTAGTCAGTGTATCATTGTCTGCATGAATACTACTGAATCTGTAATAATTTTTCTTCCTCTGTGTCAGTTTGGGATACAGAAGAAAATTACCTGGTTTATCATTGCTTTTCCCAGGGTTCAGGACCCCAGGCCACTGACGTTATGCAGCAGATGCTTTTCATAGATCAAATTAAGGGTTGATGAAGTAACAGAACCTCATGCAAGCATCCCACTGTGCTCTTGAAACTGGAATTTCATTCCTGGTAGTGATCTGTATGGCCTTGCATTTACCTTAGAAAAATAATAGTAAAAAAAAAAAAAAAATTGAGATATTTGGAAAGAAGGCAGGAAATGTTAATACTAAATTCTTGCTAACATATAGTATTCAATATGTCACTAAAGGCCTAATGGTATTTAATATATGGATTCTTCTAAATAGTGGATGTGTAGTACTCCTAAGATGTTTTATAGACTAGAAGAGGAAGAGGTACAATTGTTCACAAATGTTTCACCAAGATTGTTTTAAGTCAGTTAAAATTGCCTCTGAGAGTAGAGTTGCAATAAAAAGAGAGAGGAGAGATGGAAAAAAGAAACCCCAAAACAGGGTCCTGCTCAGTCTAGAGTTTCAGGGAGAGAGGAAAAGGTCTAGTTATCCAGAGCCAGATGCATTGTTAAAAGTTCATACTATCACTTTGACATTTAGAGTAGGACTCAGTGTCTTTGTAAATTCCTCTTCATATTACCAGTGTAGGTCTCTGAGCTCAGACAATTTCACAAACCATAACATTTTTTAGTGAGTGATTGATCTGTATTATGTGTCCTAGCCATCAGAAGAATCTTGGGATGTTGCTTGTATAAACTGTAATACAATCTGATCCTCAGCATTTAGTTACAGACTTTCATAGACCTATTGGCGATACTCAATCCTCCTGGATTTGGGAATAGGGCTTATCTGATACCTTAAAAAAAAAAGGTGGGGGGGGATGGGGGGTGGAAAAAGAAGAAAAAAGAAAAAAAAAAGCCCCTCATTTTCTCTGTTCCCCACTTAAATAACTCAACACATCTGGTAACACTGTAGGATCATTGTCCTTTCAGTTCCTCTACAGCTATTATTGCTACAATATTTCTTTGGTATCTAGTTTCCTAAAGGGCAATGCGATTTTTTTTTCTTTTTTTAAGGCTGTTTTTATAGGTCTTGCAAATTAACCCATATGCATTGCAAGAAAAAACATGACTTTTAATCAGCACCATTTCTAAAGTTAGCACTTGCACTGTGTATATGAATATGTATACGAACCAGTGTCTGAAAAAAGGAAAACATGCAACCTTTCTTCTAGTACTCAAAACTAGCATACAAATGTGTTTTTATTATCAAATAAAGTGTGCCTAAATGTTAAAATATCTTTGTTACGAGTTTTATCATTTGACTTCTTGTCTTCAGTTACGAGAATGATAAAAATTGAAACTAAATCTTTTCATTCATTCATAAGAACGATGTTGAATTTTAAGAAGCAAAAAGAGGAATCAGCTATAGACTCATATGCACAGGAAATTAAACATGCAATAAATTAAAATTCTGTGAGCAACTAAAGGGGTAGCCTTAAGGTGTGCTGATCTGAAATGCCTGCATTTCATTTTACAATAAATTTGAGTATTTTGTTCCAATTAAGACAGTTCATGTGCATGACTTTAAATTGTACAGTAGTTTCAGTGAGACTGTGGACTGCTTGTTTTACATTCTGGATCAAGTTCAGATTTCTAGGCTTCACTTGAATAAACTAAAAAGTCTCAAACCTGAAGATAATACAGATTGATAAATCTGATTTAAACATTCCCATGTTGCAGACTTGCAGTGTATGTGGTACAGCTGAGCCTCAAGCCATGCACTAAATACATCCACAGTGCATTCCCAGGGCACCCGAATACCAAATGATCACATTTGAAAGGTTAGCTTTCTATGGATTCTGACTTTTCTGTATTAGCCACAATGATTAGAATTTTAACAGCTCCCAGTGAGAGGTATTGTGAAGTATTTACTTGGCAGGAAAAAAAAACCAAACAAAACAAAGCCCAGATGAGGTACTGTCTCATATTCATGAAGTGGGATTTATTAGTTCTGTGAACGTCCTTGTGAGAATACGCTCCATCGTTCACACTTTAGAAAAAAAGAAAAAAATCTTGTTTTTCGTTTATGTTAACTTAAAACTTTGATAGAAGAGTTACTGTGGTAGAGGTTTTAGCAGTGAGACAGGATCATACTTGTGCAATGTATATCCCAGTAAGTCCTGCAGTTCTTCACAACTAGCTTCTTTGCAAGGACAGTTATGACCATTTGCTCTCTGGAAATCAGACAGTAGCTTTGTTAATAAACTAGGTGATAATTAAAGATGTAAGGCTTTTTCTCCTTTTTCTTTTACAGGTTGTGGAACTCATTTCAAGTGCTATTGGTGACTTGGTTCAAGGCATATATTATGAAAACTCAAAATCATCTGAGGTAAGAATTTCAGTAGTTTTACATACCCAAGAAGTTTGGTGATATTAATGTGTGACTACAGTAAATGTGACAACTTTCTCATTCTCTAAGGAGGAAGGAGAGGGAGGAAGAGAATTAGCTGCAGTTGTAGTGAGTTTCAGTGGTAACATCATTATGACACCTGTGAACTCTCTTGGAGGTTTCTAGGGGTGCTTGGAGAAGGGACTATTTTATTTCTGTGAGTGCTTAATTAAAGTAATATCATACATCGTTACCAGGAACTCTATAAACATGTCTTACTATGGGCTTTCCAAACACTTCCAGAGGTTTACAGTCAAGGTTCTCTTAGAGGCATTTATTACAATGTTGTCAAAATAATAAATACTTTCATGTTACATCTCTCATTTCAAAGCCCAACGATGTTTACAAAATGCTTCATCCCAAACTTATATCAGGTCCTTTCTTCTTCTGAGCATTCACCTTTTAATAGTATAAACATGAGTTTTGTCCTGAAGCGGTAGGAGAGTAGCACTGTACTCTTCTCCACCAAAAGTCGCCAGGCACACATTGCAGGAGTCAGCATAGGCAAAGATAGTGTCTGTCAGCATTTCACACCAAATAATCCTGTAATTCTTCACAAGCAATGTACTAAGGGATGTACTGTGTTATTGTGTGGCAAGAACTGTAATGAAAATTGGTCAAATTAGATCTAGGTATTTTTGTCTTTACTAGAATATTTAAGTAAACTGGTCGAGACACTTCTTGAAGTAGGCTTGCTTGGGCAGGGTGTTGGAGCAAAAAAGAGTTCTTCCGTTCATTTGCTATGACTGCGTCCTGGTTTTGATTTTGTCTGGGATAGGTTAATTTTCTCCCTAGTAGCTGGTGTAGTGCTGTAGTTTGGATTTAATATGAAAATAATGTTGATAACACACTGATATTTTAGTTGTTGCTAAGTAGTACTTATACTAACTCAAGGGATTTTCAGCTTCCCCATGCTCTGCCAGTGAGGAGGCGCACATGGAGCTGGGAGGAAGCACAGCCAGGACAGCTGACCCAAGCTGGCCAAAGGGATGTTCCATACTATATGGTGTCATGCTCAGTATATAAACGGGGGGAAGTTGACCGGGAGGCTGTGATTGCTGCTTGGGACTGGCAGGGCATCAGTCAGTGGGTGGTGAGCAATTGCACTGTGCATCACTTGTTTTGTATTTTCTTTTATTATTTTTATCATTATTATTTCTTCCTTTGCTGTTCTATTAAACTGTCTTTATCTCAACCCACGAGTTTTCTCGCTTTTGTTTTTCTGATTCTTTCTCCCATTGCACTGGGGGAGAGTGAGCGAGGAGCTGTGTGGTGCTTATGTCTGGCTGGGGTTAGACAGACTGTATCTTAACACATGCAAAAAGTCGGTAAATTAAAGTTGCCATGGCCTCTACAGGTTTTCTGACAACAAGTTTTCACTGTGTGGGAATGATGAGCTGTGTGTATATGTGAATATCTATCTTGAAATCCACTGAGGTAGATAGATTTGCTTACAGTGACATTGTCTTGCATGGCTAGTTTGCCTCAGAGACCTGAATCTTAACATTCAGTAGATTAAATGGCTTGAAGAATGCAGAAATTCGTTTGTATTTGTTGTATATTTAGATTGCAGATTTGGTTTGCTATTTCCATGTTGTAGTATGTAGCAAAGGTAATACATTAGTGGAAGCCCTGATGGCGTGGGTTACTGCCCTACAGGAGATACCTGCACCAATGGCTCTGCGCCAGCCGAACCACAGTGGGCAAGCAGAGAGTGTAGAGCTGTGGATGTGCCCCAGCTGACCATGGCTGGGCTGTGGAGGGAGGGTGCTGCTGCACCCAGTGACTCCGTTGGTCCGTATCTGTCTCTTCTCCTCTGCAGCAGCAAAGACATGTTACTCAACCTGGTTGAAGCTTAGCCCTCTCATTTTGATTGAAACCAGTTAGGTAGGAAGTGATCGTGCTAATGAGCTGAGCTCTCCCCTTGGAGGAAGCAAGAGCCTCTAGCAGGAAAGCAGTAACGGCACCCTCGGGAGATGCCCAGGGCCACGGGCTTGCCAGGCGGCATGGCAGAGATGGCGTGCACAGAGCCATCCTCTGGCACCTCTCGGGGGGGACCCTGGGTGGAAGCATGGCAGCACTGTGATGCTGGGAACTCGGCAGTCCTTCTGCACCTGCTGGTTTAACCCAACTGTAAACAGACTGCAGCCTTCGGGGGTGCTCCCAAGTATTGTGCTCAGGGTTATATGTTAAAATAGATTACATCTTTGAGACTTTCGAAAGAACGTTTAAAATTTTGTTCTCCATGTTCAAGCAGGTTTCTAAATATAAGTAGATTCCAAATATATCAGATTTTTAAAAATTACACCTCTTTTGTATGTAGAACTAAAGCTCTACAAGTTAGCAACAAAACTGCATTTTATTTTAACCATGACCCATGTATAAATGAGAAATGTTGTGTGCTCTTTTGGGTTCTTGCCACTGCAGAAGGTCTTAATCTTCTTTTTCCTAGTCATTCTTTTTCTTTCTGTTTATTTTCTGTTGCATTACTGAAGAACTCCATGTGTGCAGATTGCAAGGGAAGTGTGAGATAAACTAAGCACAGCTGCATGATGTTTAGCCTGCCCTGGCCCAATTCCAAATAGAAAAAACTTATTTTGTTTCTGTGACTTTTTCTGTCTACGGAGAGCTACAAATACAGTATACCCTTCCTAAGGGGAACCCAGTTAACTGAAAACACAATTAGTATGGTGGCATAATAGATATTGAAAATTACATGACAGTGTCTGAAGTTTAATCTTTATAATGAGTAGTGCGTGGCTTCTGATGAGACCTAGAACAATCAAGTGTGGGATCTACTTTTTTTTTAATCTTGTCCTCCATGAAATTTGGTTCCATACTGTGTGTGAGATGTATCACTGCTGCTTTCCTTGCACTGTTTTCCTGAAGTGGTTTACCATTTGTGTCGTGAGCATCACTCTAGCAAAGATTGCCAAATGGACTAGCTCAGATATTGGTCTGTCTTACCTGTATCCTTTGTGCATCTTCCCTCCATCCCTAATGGCAATTTGAAACAAAAATGTGAACTACTTCTCAAAAGTCAAACTTTATTTCTTTTTAAGAGTAGGGCATAGGGACATTAGTAATGGCTTTTTCATTGCTGGGAATATCTTAAATTTGGAAAAGCAGAAGGATATCTTCTCACTTTTTTTTTTTTTTTTGAGGCAGGAACACTGTAGGTCATATGTCAAATGTCTAATGCAGTTGTTACAAAGCTTCTCAGTACCTTAAAATAGACTAATTTATCACCAAGTTGTTTTGAGCTTTGATAGATGTCTACCTAGATGGTTTTATCTTTTACTTTAGACAAAAATAACTCTGCAAAATTCACCTTTCTCCTTTGAGACCCTAAGTTCATGTTTACTTCCAAAAGAATGTTTCAGTTTGTTTCATTTGGATGACCCAGTAGGAAAATTGAAAGAATCATTTGACCTAAGAAGACTGACCTTATTTACTCCTGAAGACATATAATGGATGTAATTATTTGACAGCTCTCATTACCACTTTTTTTTCCCCTGGAAAACCACATGCCATCCTACAGCCATCACACTTTAGTACATTCTGTTTGGTCATTCTTCATCTTGTCTGCATAGTGAGTCATTAGATCTGTGTGAAATGGGGAAAATAAATATTATCTTTAACTTTTCATCTTTATTTGAAGTGACAATCCAAACTACAAAGTGTAGGCTTTGGTTGCAAAGACAGCCTGAAGGTTAGGGCTGCCACTCATGTTCAAAGTAGCAAATAGCTGCTGTAGTTTAAGATGTTGCATTAGTGGCTTAAGCTAATACTTTGGACTGTAAGCTGGAGCAGAAAGGGGTGATGTGATAAACCTTTGCAGCTTTGTGTGCTAAATCCCCTCTCAACCCAAAATTCTGTGAGTGAAGGACGCTATTCCCAGTTCCTCGTCTGTCTTCCCTAAGTCTAGGTCTAGTTTGGGAGTAAAAATTTGTACTTTCAGGGAGTGCAGAGATGAAAGTTGTCTAATCTGGCCTCCATCGTGATTGTGGTATCTATTTATAACAGAAAAAAAACATTGCACTGAGTCTCTGTTTCCTACTTTTAGGAGACTGAAGGCTTCTACAATGTTTGTGAACTTAGAGAATATTGTTGCACTTTTAGAAACCTTCCGTCTTAATATCACAGATCATTTAACAAATATTAATGAAGAATGTTTTAGCATCTCTGTCAGCTCACTGAACAGGGACGAGAGATACAGGGAAGCTCAAGGTCGAACAGCAGAATCGAGAGCAGGACTTGAGTGTGTTGGCTCTTGTGCTTTACCTGCCAAACCATTCTTGCAATCTGAAAGTATTAGGGACTGTGATGGGAAACTGCCTTGTTGGGGTTTTTTTCCCCCTCACCTCCAGGTTATGTAGCTGATGCTAAGTGTGCATTACCAAAAATAATTTTTAGTGTCAGAATGAGACTGATCATCTCCAACACGTTCCACTGATGGCTAGAAGAGCTGTTAGGTATTTTTGAAATTTTTGGTGCCGTTGTTTGAAAATTTTGTATAACTAATATGTAAAATGAGTTTTAAAAAGAAATACATTAGTTTCAAGTACTCATTGTACCAAAAAGTGAATTAACAGGTATTTGGTTTAGACCAATGCAGGTTTTTTAATGAAAGTAAGTTTATTTTTCCAGCAAAGCACAGACTACATGTGGTGAGTTGTACCAGTTCTTCTGTGGTGTCTGGTCACTCCTCCTTTGGGGAGGAATGTTTTAGACACTGCTTGTGTCCATCAACTGGACTGCTATGGGTCTATGTTATAAGTAAAGGATTTGCTCATAAATTTTACCATAGGAGGTAAAACAAATGTATTTTGAGTTGTGTAAACCACCTTCTAGCAGGGCACCAGTCAGAGTCAGAGCTTTCACTTTTATTTTAAACAAATGTTTCTGTTGCAAGACAAAAGGGAAGGATAAAATATGGA